TAGCCGCAGCCTTTGCTGTTGCCTTCGCTGCCTTAGTTGTCGCCGCAGCCTTGGCCGGAGTCGCTTTCGCCGCAGCCTTGGCCGCCTTTCCTTTGGCCTCAGCTTTAGCGGCTTTAGCCTGGGCCTTGGCCTTCTTTGGCGCAGGTTCTGAAGGCTTTGCGCGTGCCTGGCTGTCAGCCGAAGTCTTCGCCGCCTTAGCCTTAGCCGCCTTCTCTGTTGCTGGGGCTTCGCCGGACTGGCTGGCAGCCGGAGCTGCAAAGCGCAGGGGCTGCTGAGCTGGGTCTGCGTCGGCAGGCTTGCGCTTGCCACCCATGGCCGGGCACGCAAAGGCGAGACTACCCCACTCTTGTTCTTACTGAGGCTACAGTCTACAGGTTCTAGCACACCGTCGCAGAGTGTCTACATGGTCTACTACCCACTGTCTGTCTGAGTCTTAAGAGCCTTGAGCCTGACGTCCTGAAGTGTCATAAGTCCGAAGTCCTAGGTCCTAAGCCTCTCCAGAGGGCCTAATGCCCTTGAGCGGCAGAGGCGGCGGCGGGATAAGCAATCGCCTTCGACAAACCGTACCTAGTGATTCGAGCGGGCGCGCCTGAGCCTTTGCATTTTTTGTAGATTGCGTTTTTTTGATTTTTTTTTGCCAGTGTATTTTTGGAATATCTGAATTTCTGACATTATTTATTTATTGAATTTCTGAATTTCTGAATTTCTGAAATTCTGAATTTCCGCCGAAATGAATTTCTGGAATTTCTGCCGATTTGCTTGTTAACGCAGAAATATGCTCCTTACAGGCCTGTAACTAACAAATTTTGCTTGTTAACTACTTTATGGCTGAAATTCCTGAAATTCAATTATTATTTATCAATACAATTCCTGAAATTCCTGAAATTCATTTATTCTAATAATCGAAAATTATTTAATTAAATTAAATTAAATTAAATAATTAAATAATTAAAATTAAAATTTAAAAATATATTTGTGAAAACGGTTCTGATCAACAAAATGATACTGGCCAACGCGAGCAGCAACTGCTCAGCTGCGCTCTGTGACTGACGATTCGACACTGTGCGATGCACGCTTGCGTTCATGGCGGCAACAGCCAGCTCCGCTGCTCCCAGTGTCCTGCAATATCCATGATTGACCAAAGCTCGGCCTTTGTCGTCTCCTTGGGGCAGAAAACGCACTCCGCTTCGTCCAGTTCTGAGACTTACCTTGCCGTACAATCTGGACTGCTTCGGGGACTCTCTCGACGCCGATGCTTGCTTCTTTCATGTGTGGACACAGAGTTGGGCGTCGAAGAGTACGCTACAGCGCACAGAGTCTCGTTGACCGGCGTCAACAGCGAATGCCACTCCGTGCTGCACCTTGCAGCTGAAGAGCTGCGGGTGGGACAGATCACCGCAAGCTTCTTCGGCGTTGTGACGCGAGCCGTGCCGGCCCGGCACGGCCGCGGCGCGTCTTGCTGGACGAGGCCAGCACTTTGGACAAAGAGTTGGGTGTCGAAGAGTACGCTGCAGTGCACGGAGTCTCCTTGACGGGCGTCAACCACGACGGCCACTCCGTGCTTCACATTTCAGCTGAAGAGCTGCGGCTGGGACAGATCGCCGCAAGCTTCTTCGGCGTTGTGACGCGAGCCGTGCCGGCCTGGCACGGCCGCGGCGCGTCTGCAGGGCCAGCTGCTCCTGCAGGACGCGCCTGCCGCGGCGTGGGCGAACCAACGCTGCCGGCGTGGCTGTCGCTCTATATCTTGGAAGAGCGAAGCGGTTGGATCCCGAAATTCAGGACATGAAAATTGCTATTCAAATTAACAGGACTACAATACTAAAATTGAAAATCCAAAATTCAGAAAGATATCGAAATTCAAATTTAAAAATATACACAGTTTGTTTTAAAATTTTAAACACTCACAATCTAAACAAAATTAAGATTAAAAGAAAAACTACTATCGCCTTGGAAAACAGAGCATAGGTTGGAGCCTTGTCGTAAACGTAAGCACTCTTTACATGTTTGATGAGAATGGTACTGTTAAGTCTGTTAAGTTATAGACTGAAACCAAGCCAAGCCTTAAGCCGCCTTACGCTTTTAAACCTTTAAGGCTTAAGGCTTAAGGCAGGCTTAAACTTAAACCTGCCTTAAGCCTTAGAACCTTAAAGCCCTGCTCTTAAAGCTTAAAGCCTTAAAATGTGTTTGATTCCTTAAGCCTTAAGACCTTAAGGCCCCTTGATTCTTCATACGATGTTCCAATCAAAACCCAAATTTCAAAAGTAAAATTGCCAAGCTTTCACTATCAAGCTGTATTCTCAATTGCTCTTTAACTGTACATCTAGAATCTAGAATCTAGAATCTAAAAATTTAAAATATACAGTTTCAAAACAGTAATTTAAAAACACATCCAACTCACGTACACCCCTCAAGGTTTCCAACCTTAAGGAGCCTTACGCCTTAAGTCTCTGGGGCCTGCAGTTTGGTTTGGCTTGGCTTAGTTAAATGACAACTTAAATTAAGTTACTTAATGCCTTAAAGAAGCGTAATGAGTCATAGTGTCATAGTGATAATAAACATGAAGTAAACCGGGAGGCCCCAAGACCCTAAAGTCCCTAAAGCTTTTCACTTTGAGATTGTGTCAAAGACTAACATTCTAAAAGCTTAAATTGTCTAAATTATTAAAGTTTAAATTTAAAACGTTTAAACTAAGTTAGAGTTTGAAATGCTTAACGCTTAACAAACAATTAAAGTCAATTAAAGTCAAAGTCTAACTTTGTTAAAAAAAATAAGCCGCGTTAAGTACGTCAAACTTTAACCTTAAACCTTTTAAAACTTTTAAGCCTTTGCCTTGTTTTAGGCCTTGGTCCTTAGCCTTGGCCTGTTAGCCTTGGGCCTTACGCCTTAGGACCTAACCGACCTAATCATCAGTGCCTGAGCGCCTTACTAAACTTGAGCTAAGAGGGTTGAAATTTGTTTAAAATTCATTGAATTTCATTATAACTCTAACTGCTATAACTATAATTAAAGTCATTAAAGTCAAAGTCAGAGTCAAAGTGTAGTTTAGTTTAGTTAAAGTTAAAATCTAAAATCTAAAATATGAAATAATTCAAAAGGAAAAACAAAAAAATGCCCGAAGGCCCTAAACCGATGCCCTAAACCCAACCCAAAGCCTAAAGTGGCCTAAAACCTTAAGCCTAAACTGTCCCAAATTTTTATGACCCTATTCCAATAAAAATGCAAAGGCTCAGGCTGCACCCGCCGTTTTATGATCTCGATTTCGGCTCTTATAAGCCGCCCTTCCACGATACTGGCTGACAGCCGAAAACCCAAGTGCCCTAAGGCCCTAAACTGTCCTTCCACGACACTGGCTGACAGCCGAAGGCCGAAGTGCCCTAAGCTGCAAGCCTTGAAGCCTAGGCCCCAGGCCTCAGGCCTTAGACTTAGACTTAGACCTTAGACTGAAGCACACCTTACACCTGGCTTAACCGCCTTAACCCCAACCCCAGCCCTGGGAACTGCAAAGTCTTAGGCTTTAAAGCCTTAAGGCTTAAGGCTTAAGGCTAAGGCTAAGGCTTATGTAAGGCTTTAAGGCTTATAAGGCTTAAGCTGAAGCCCCTTAGGCCTTAAGCCTTAAGCCTTAGCCTTAAGCCTAAGCTTTAAGCCTCAAACCCTGAAGCCTTCAACCTCAAACGTTGAAGCCTTGAACCTCACCCTAAACCCTGAGCCTAAACACTAGCCGCCCTCAACCCAAGCCCCTAAGCCCCCGGGCCCAAACCTTAAGCCTTAAGCCTTAAGCCAAGCCTTAAACCTCCCTGAAGCCTTCAGTGAACCCTGGCACGATGCCACTTGTTTTGGCAGCCACGCAGGCACAGCTCGAGGTCGGCACCAGTGACACACACTCGGACTTAGGCGGCAGCTTAGGCCCTAGGCCTAAACCCTATAAGCTGAGGTTTCAGGCTTAAGGCTTAAGGCAAGGCTTAAGGCTTAGGGCAGAGGGCTTAAGGCTTAGGGTTTAGTTTAAGGTTTAAATAAGGCTTAAGGATTAAGGCTTAAGGCCCTAAGGCGCTTAAGGCTTAAGGCTTAAGCTTAAAGGCTTAAAGGCTTAAAGGCTTAAAGCTTAGGCTTAGGCTTAGGGCTTAGGCTTAGGCTTGGGCCTAGGCCTTAAGGCTTAAGGCTTAAGGCTTACAACTGAAGGTTTTCGGGATAAGCCTAGGGCCTAAGGCCTAAGGCCTAAGGCTAAGGCTTAGGGCCTTAGGGCTTAGGGCTTAAGGCTGAAGGCTTAAGGCTTAAGGCTTTCGGGGTTTTATGGGGGTTGAGGGCCGGGAGTTTAGGGCTTAGGGCAGGGGTACAGTACAGTACACAACCTACGCCGCCTAAGTCTTTTACTACGGCCGCCTACGACTACGACTACGACTTTGCCTGGCTGACAGCCGAAGGCGTGCTGGGCTCACGAGACTGGCTGACAGCCGAAGTTCCAGGTGGCGTGGACTGGCTGACAGCCGAAAAACCAGGTGTGGCGGACTGGCTGACAGCCGAAAGCGCAGCAGCGGTCCAAGGCAGCTCTGGCTGACAGCCGAAATTCAGCGCCAGTGCCGCCTGTCCCTTGGCTCCTCGTCGCGCCAAGCCCGTGCACGATCCAGCCTGGACTGCGTGGGCTTTGCTGCGCGCTCGTCCCGATTCTGCCGGCTTCTCTCTGGGAAAAGCTCGCGCGACGACTGACCCCGCTGACTGGACCTCTGCACACCAAGCGTCGCCAAGTAGCGCTGAACCTGTGCCAAGCGTTTTTTGGGAGGTATTTGGGAAATTCGGGGTTGCTGGCTTTGGCTTTAACTTTAATTTTAGAGTGCAAAAACTGGCTGACAGCCGAAGGCCCTAGACTCTACTCGCTTCTCTGTCTTAAGTCTTGAGTCTTAAGTCTTAAGTCTTAAGTCTTACGTCTTAAGTCTTAAGTCTTAAGTCTTACGTCCTACGTCCTGGGTCTTAGGGCCTAGGGCCTAGGGTTTTTTCCAAACTCCTGCCTCGCCGTTTGCCATGTCCATGGCAGTCCGCTGCGTCCCGGCGTGCCGTGCATGGACGTCTGCGCGAGCGGCCGCAAGTGTTTGCAGCATCTGCACGGACTGCACCCCCGCGGCGCGCAAAAAAGCAGTGGCACCTCTCGAGTCGCGCTGCTCCAGGTTTGCCCTCGCCGCCACCAGGTGCTGGATCGCTTCAGCTTTGTCAGCTTCGCGATCCCTGCCAGAGCCCGCCACCATGTGGAGAGCATTGGAGCCCGTCGGCCGACCACCGCGCGTGACGACGTTGAGCATGTCGCGCGGCACAGCTCGCGTCACAACGCCGAAGAAGCTTGCGGTGATCTGTCCCAGCCGCAGCTCTTCAGCTGCCAGGTGCAGCACGGTGTGGCCTTCGCTGTTGACGCTGGTCAACGAGACTCCGTGCGCTGCAGCGTAGTCTTCGACGCCCAGCTCAGAGTCCACAGCACTCAGCTCCTCCAGCAAGGCCTGCCTGCGCGCCCGGAGCTGCTCTTTGGCCTGCGGCGTCCGAGGCGACGTTCGGCGCACACCCTGGCTGTCAGCCGAAGCGGCAGGCTCCGCAGGCGCCTCACGCTTAAGGCTCTGGCTCTGGCTGGCAGCCGAAGTGGCAGGTGCCGGCGCTTGCTGAGGCTCTTCCTTCTTCACAGGCTGCTGCTTGGGCGGTGGCGCCGGCTCCTTGGGTTCGGGTGGCGGGGGGCCTGCAGCGCGGGGCGCCGCTGTTGGCTCGGAAGAAGCTTCTGGCGCTGAGCTCTGGCTGACAGCCGAAGGAGCTTCTGGCACTGAGCCCTGGCTGGGAGCAGAAGGAGCTGCTGGCACTGAGGTCTGGCTGACCGTTGACGGGGCTGCTGCAGCCGAAGGGGCCTCCACAGGGTCCTGGCTGGCAGCCGAAGGGGGCAGCACAGGCTCTGCCATTTTCGGCATGGCCTTCGTCTGTATGTCCGCAGTCACATTTGCCGGCGGCGCTTTCGTAGACGCAGGCACAGCAGGCACAGATGCCGTCTTCGCTGCTCGTGGTGGCGGCGGTGGTGCTGGGGGAACTTTCTTACCCTTGAGACCCTTGTTGTACTCATCCACCAACCACTTGGCGTTGCGGGCGTGTCTGGAGCTCATGCTGTGTTGTTGCATCTGCTCCGCATAGTGCACTGTAACTGAGCACGCCAGGCATGTGAGCATGTCCTCCGAATAAATCGCAGGACCAACATACTCCTGGCTGGCAGCCGCAGTACCGGAGCTACCCTGGCTGACAGCCGAAGACGAAGCCTTTGCCGCTGCCTTTGCCTCTGACTTGGCAACGGCTCCCGGCACCTCTGCCTCTGCTGCGGCAGCCGAAGCTGGCTCTGCTGGAGCCTGGCCGCTGCCTGAAGCTGGCTCACCAGCACCAGTGCTGCTGCTTGCAGCTGCCGCACCAGCAGCAGCATCTGCTGGGCTTTCCTGGCTGGCAGCCGAAGCCTTCGCCTTCGCCTTCGCCTTCGCCTTCGCCCTCCCCTCGGCAGACGGCTCGACCATCCTGCATGCCCATGTATAGGCATTGGACAAAGAGCGGCCATTTTCCCGCCAGCCGGGGTTGTGGTGCCATCCAGGCCATATATCTCGGATGGACGCGAGGTGGCTGAGGGCCTGCTGCACAGTGTCAAAAGCGCCCAGGTAGACCAGTATCATCGCTCCAAGCAAAGGGGATCGGTGAAACCCTTTGTTGCAGTGCACGACCTGGGCAAGGTTTTCGTGTTTTAAGGCTTATAAGGCTTAAGGTCCTTAAGGTTTTAGTTTTAGTTTTAAGATCTGAAAACTTCAAACCCTTTAAGGCGTTCAGGTAATCATAATCTCAGTATAGTCATAGTCATAGTCATAGTCATAATCATAGTAATCATAAACCATAATCACATAATCGTAGTCATAGTCATAATCATCATAATGTCATGAGTCATAATCGAATCATAATCATAGTCTCATAGTCATACTCCTAAGTCCTAAGGTCCTAAGTCTTAAGTCTTAAAGTCTTAAAGTCTGAAGTAACTAAGTAACAAGACATAAAGAGATAAGACTCATATGACATATTATAATATATAAGATATAAGATAAGTCTTACAAGGGCCTAGACCTAAAGGCCTAGGGCCTAGGGCCTGACGGTAATGCGGCAAGGCTTTGTGACTTATAGGCTTAAGGCCTTAAGGCTTAAGGCTTAAGGCTTAAGGCTTAAGGCTTATATCTTATAGTTATAGGGATTTGGGCCTTTTATGCTTTAGGACTTGAGGCTTTAGGCTTCGAGAGACTCACACTGGCTGGCAGCCGGATCTTCGCTGAAACCTGGCTAGCTGCAACAACCCCGAAGCCCAAACTGCAACCCCGAAACCACTGTTGAAAACTCAGTCCGCGGCGATGTGTCCACCTTGCTCTGCCACTGAACGGAGCACCGTGACGCATGTGCCCCAGGACACGGTCCTCTCGCGGCTCTCGAAAGAGACCGGCACGACCAAAAAGCGCCACCGGTCGCTGCTTTTGATCTTCTCGGGGTACACGTACGCATCAGTACGTTCTCCAGCAGCAGATACCACCAGGCCGATGCCTTTGGCATAGCCCTTCCACCTCTCGTTCTCCACGTCCTCTCTTCCTGTCAATATCAAGACGCCGCTGTCAAGCTTGAGCCACGTCCCTGCTTGTGTTGGGTGCTTTGGCATTCTCACGCCTGGCTGACAGCCGAAAAAAGGTGGAAACTGGCTGACAGCCGAAACGTGGGCTGACTGGCTGACAGCCGAAGCCGCGAGCGCACGCCCAGCCGCGAAGCTGCGGAAGTCGCAAGGGCAGCCGGCTGCTGGCTATGGCGACGAACCAAGGCTACAGTAGCTAGTAACACTTAGTCACTCAGTAAGTAAGTAGTCTCTAGACTCTAGACTCTAGTCAAGTCTACGACCTAAGACCTAGAGACCTGCGGCCTAAGGCCTAAGGCCTAAGGCTGCGGCTAAAGCTAAAGGCTTTACTAGGCTTTAGGCTAAGGCGGCTAACGCTACAGGGCTAAGCCTAAGCGGCTAAGGCTAAGGCTAAGGCTAAGGCGGCTAAGGCTAAGGACCTAAGGCTCAGGCTCAAGCTAAGGGGGTAAAGTTAAAAGTTTGCTTAAAGGCTTAAAGGTAGCTTAAGGCTTAAGGCTCAAGCTTAAGGCTTAAGGCTTAAGGACTAAGGCTTAAGGCTTAAGGCTGTAATGCTTAAGGGGCTTGAGGGGCTTAATGTTTAAAGAGTTTAAAGGCTTCAAGGCTGAAGACTTAGCAGGACCTAAGGCTTAGACCTATACTAACCTATGCTTAGACTTAGACTTAGACTCGACTTAGGACTTACACTCAGACTTGTCTTAGTCTTAGTCTTGAGTCTTAGAGTGTCTTAGAGTCTTAGAGTTAGTTAGACTTAGACTTAGACTTAGACTTAGACTTAGACTTAGACTTAGACTTAGACTTAGACTTAGACTCAGACTCAGACTTAAACTCTTAGACTTAGACTCTAAGACTCAGACTCTTCGTCTTAGACTCAGACTCAGACTTAGACGACTTAGACTCAACTCAGTATACCTGGGACCTGTGACCGGACATGGGCCTAGGGCCTAGCGCTAACCGGCCAACCTGCACACTGAGCATCTTGAGCCAAAGACCACACGGTCGACCGCCCAAGTTTTTGGCATGCCCCGCCCCCCCCCCTCGCTCTCCAGCTTTGCTAAACTCAGGAAGCACATGCAACCCTGCAGATGGGCATTGGTTCTGACTGGACAGTTGAACTGCGCACCCTTCCTTCGTTTTGCGGCACTGCAGCAGGGTCCCAATCTCAACTGGCTGGCAGCCGGATGTGAACCTACTCGACTTATGGACCTAGTCACCTATAGGGACCTAGACCTAGTCACCTAGTCACAAGTCTTTGGCTGTGGCCCTTGGCTGACAGCCGAAGTTGCCGTGTCACGCACACGCACGTTTCAGGCACCAGGACCTGGAAAAGTTTTTTTGTGTGCCGTCTGAAACGAAAGGTGCGTTCCTACTGGTATTTCCAGCCCCCTTTGAAACCAAGAAAGCAGCGCCATTTTGCTAGGAGCCTTGTCGACCTTGCGGATGAACTGGCAGCCGTGCCGGGCGCAGTAAACAGAAAAGGCCTCTTGCGGCGTGCCGACTTTCAAGCTGGTAAGTCGACCCAGGTACCCGCCAGCGCGATTGAACACTTTCCCATCCTCATCCATCCTTAAATCACATGCGTCGGATTGCGATGGTGCTGCTGGCCCAGGCTGGCGAGAGTCGCAGCCTGCACTGGAGCTGCTTGCAGCTGCTCCTGCAGGCGAGGCAATGGACTCTGCTTCGTCCACAGCAACAGCCGCAGCCATGTCCAACACATCCTCTACATCCGAAGCCTCTGCATCAAACTCATCCAGCAGCTCATGAGCTAGCGCTTCTTCTTTTGAACTCGCATCAGGAACAAGTGCCTCGGCCTCGATTTCAGCATCCCATGATCTCAGAGCTTCGCCTTCATTGTCTCCAACATGAGCAACGGCATCGCATCCTGGCTCGTTCAGCGCCGTCTTCCTGCGCACCCTCTTTGTCGGTCGGCTTAGAGACTGATCGTCCAAAGACCGCACCGCAGTCTTGATGGTGGAAGCACGCTTGTCCGCTTGACGCTTTGCAGCATGCTCTTTCTCCCTGGCTGCCGCATCTTGGACTTCCAAGACCTCCAGAAGAGTCAAGGACACATGCTTGTAGTTGATGTGCCAACACTGCAAGTCACCATACAGTCCACGCATCTTCCGGCATTCGTCCAAGACCTCTGCAGCTGAAATCAAACTGCCAGCAGTGACTGGTAACGGCAAGCGGGTCCCCTGCTCTGGCTCAGCAGCCACAGCGCATCGGCTGTAAACTTGCTGATCTTGAACAGGGCAAAGCTGGAGAAGTAGAAAACCACGTACCTCCGGCCCACACCTCAAGCTTGCATCTGCAACTGCGATGTAGTACAGAGGCAACGGCTGCCACGTTGGCTCCGTTGGTTGCGCTCGCGTTTTGCACATGGATGCCCAGCGGTTCAACCGTTTGCGAAGGTCGTCTCGCCAGGCGCGCTGGCTTTCTGGCAAAGCATGCACACATGTTGCACCGCAAGCAGGACCCTCGGTAACGTTTGGGGTCGGCTTTGGATCGCATGGCTTCTGTCCAACTCGCTCGTTCCAATCCTGCGCCAGGCGTGCCACTGCCGGGCGGAGGGCTTCCAAGTGCTCTGCCCGGATGGGGTAGAACCCGTCCCCAGCAAAAGGCCAGGGGCCAGCAGTTTGTGGCACTTCTGCAGTGTCCGCATCTGCGGGGGCCCTTGTGCCTCTGCTGGCGGGCAGCCGAACATGTGCGGCTGTTCTGGCTGGCAGCCGTACGTCTGCTGCCCTTGTTGCGTCCTGATCACGGGCGCGCCACAGCTGAGCAACATCAGCCAATGTCTTGTTGGAGCAGTTGTGCTGCCGGACGAAATCGTGCCAAGCCGACTTGCCCTTCGCATCCTGCGAGGCCCGGCTCGGTGCTTGCACTGAGTGGTCCGCTGCTTTTCCGAATTGGCTGGTGTCCAGAATTGTCTTGCTTTCAGCCAAAACATGCTGTGCCGCCAAAGTCGAGTGCTTTGGCTGCATGCCGTGATTCGTGGCCCTGCGTGTGTGCGATCCAGCGAAAGACTTCTCACTGATGAAATTGGTGATGGGAGCTGTCTGGAGCAAGTGGTGTGTTCGCTCTAGATTCAGTTCACCCAGCACGTCAGCAACGCAGTTGAGGCCTTGCTTGTACTGGAGCACGAAATCTTCTTGGTGGACACAAAGATCGAGAAGCTCCTGAGCCAGGGCATTCTTTTTTTCCTGGCTGACAGCCGAATCGTCCTCGAAGAAAAGAGCGGCTTTCCACGGCCACGCGCCGAAAGGCAGGACAAGCCGGGACTGCAGTTGACCTACTTGCAAACAAACAGCAGTGGCAGCCAAGCAGTAAAGCCGCTCGTTCCACTCTTCCGTGGATGGCAAAAGAGCCTGCCAAAGCTCGTGTCTCTCATCTGCCAACGCATCCAGCAACAGCACCACTGCCTTGACTGCTGGTGACTTCGAAGGCCGCCCCAGTTCCAGAGCTGTGCAGGTTGGTTCTGCGTCTTGCAACATATGCCCTGTTTCTGTCGCAGATTTGAAGAAAGCTCCAAGAATTCGCAAAGATGGCTTCATGGCCAGTAGAACAGCCATCAGCTTGTCTCCAACATGTGGCGTTGTGACGAAAGCGTGGAATCGGCGAATGCGGAGATACTCTTGCTGCGCGAATTCCTCTGACTGCCCTAGTCCCAAAGTGATGTCATCATCCGCCTCTGGAAGAAAGCTTTGAGTCAGCTTGGAACCTGCAGCTGCTTGAAGCGAAGAAAGGACAGGCTGCAACATCTGTGGCAGCAGATTGTGAACACGGAACAGTGGGCAGAACCACTCGAGAACTGGACTGACTTTCGTCCACTTGTTGAAAGCGGGCGTGGGCGGCGGCGAGTCCAGGAAGAGCGTGCACAGGTCATCATGGAGTTCTTCCACAATGGCCTTCCGGCCACTGTGGCAGCCCAAGGGACAAAAGTGAATCACAGCATTGCTGCCCAACGGGCCTTTCAAGTTTCGCCGCAAGCGGCGCCAAGCCTTGGCTTTCTTTCCGGTCACACGGCGCTCCCCTGCTTGCTCTTTATCATTGCTAGTGACAAGGGGCCAAAACAAATCCCAAACAGCTTGCGCGTGGCTGACAGCCGAAGGGTCTGGCTTGTCATAGCAAACGACGAGCTGCTCCTCCAGGATTGCACGTAGCCTTGCTCGCAAGAGGCGCTGGAAACGAGACTGGCGGAGTGTCAAAGAGCCGCAAAACAAAGCCGACATCAGTCCAGAATACATCAATCCTGAAGTCAACGACAAACAAAGCTGATGCATTCTGCAGGGGCATGAAAGGCAGCGGACCTGCGTGGACAGCAGCTTGCGCAGACGCATGCAGCTGCTGAAGCTATCAGTGTTAAGCAGAAAGGTGGTCTTTCCGGCAAGAGCTTCCAGCTGTTTCAACGCGAGTGGAAGCCTGCCCATCAACGCTGTATACAGGTCTGCAGTTGACGTAGTCTTTAGCAAAGCTGTGGGCAAAACGACATTTAGCCGCTCCAACAGTCTGCCGCTGGCTGACAGCCGAACGACCTTCATGTGAATCACTAAAACACTGCTCAACTCAGCTCTAGCATTCACCGTGACAGGTTCGGTTGTTTCATCCAACGCTATGTGCACCCACTGTTCGGTTGCTCGCGTCAAACTTGAGAGTGCATCTTCTTGGATGCGCATGTACAGCTCGCTCATGCAAGCTCTCACGTTTGTGATATGTGTTGTGCTGCTGTGCCATTGTCGAGCGCATGCACGCACACTGGAGACTGTTGGCGCTGCTACCTTGACCTGGCAATGCGTTTTCTTTCTAAGACGCGTGAGCTTGGGTGTGGCAGACTTTCGCCGACGCGGTCTGGAGCCCCAGCAAGCCTGCAGTAGAGCAGTAGGAAGCCACTGTTTGTAAATGCCCTTGCCTTTGACTTTCTGCTCTTTGTTTGCATTGAGGTCAATCACATCCTCTGGCGTTTTCGCAAAGACCGCATTGTGACGATTGACCAACCATGCAATTCTTTCAGTTACCTTCAGCCTGTGTCTTGCAGCTGAAACGCGCTGACGCCCGCAACGGGCGATTTTTGCAGACACTGCTCCGCGATGCGCTGGCTTTTCACAACGCCTGACGCGTTGCAAGATGCGGTTCACTGCAGCAAGGTCGTCGTCGCTATCTTCTGCCATGAAGTGCTGGCTGACAGCCGGAACTTCGCCGTGCACAGGGCTGACAGCCGGCACGGCGAGTTGCCTTCAGGCAGTGAAGAGGGTCGCATCTGCAGCTGCCTGACACTGCTGCTGGAGACGGGTCAGCACATCGGCGCCATGACACTGCTGTAAGACGTATAAGGCATAAGGCCTACATCCTGAATTATGATTCGGTCTTATGTCTTGCGTCATGTCTTAAAGTCCTAAAGACGACAACATGTACAACTGGGGTATAGTACAGTATAGTATAGTATAGTATAGTGTATACTGCTACTGCAGCTACTGGCCTGTACTACAACAACAACTACTACTACGATTGCGAAGGCGCCGGCGACGACAGCAATAATATCAGTGAATGCTGTCAGCTCTAGCCTGTTTGGCGAGTTATTATTGGTTTTGGAGTCTGGTGTACAATTTTGAGTCGCTGGTTAGTTGTTCTGAAATGCTTGACTTTGAATGGAGTAGTTGAATTACATTAATTTACTAGTTATTTAGTTAATTCAGTTAATTATTAATTAATAATTAATTAATTAATTAATTAATTAATTAATTAATTAATTAATTAATTATTAATTATTAATTAATTATTAATTATTGATTAATTAATTAATTAATTAATTAATTAATTAATTAATTAATTAATTAATTTTCTTAATTAATTAATTAATTAAGAAATTAATTAATTCAATTTAAATTTTTTAATCAATTATGTCTGTTATGAATTATCGAATTATTTGCTAATTATATGAAATATATCAAGTATTTCTGATATATGACATTATTGCCACATAATTGTAAGGTTTCCAGAGTAGGTGCGTTTGAAGCTTCTTGAATTCGCCCAACTCTAAAGCTTGAGCACAGAACACTGCATGCTCCAGAAACTTGTCATATGTTCTGTCCAGAGGCCCCAAATGCAAACATTACCAGAAAAGCAACTGCTTTATGTGAAAGTAGAACATGTAGTAATGTAGTATTACTACAACATCAGCGTGCACACACGTGACAGCGTCCATGCACACACAGCACTGCGCGCGCACAGCGTGCACATAGCGCGCGCATAGCGCGTGCACAGCGCGTGCACTTTTTCACAGCAGCCCGTGCAGCTTCTGCGCGCATAGCGCGCGCACACACGATATATGCGCGCGCGCTTCTGCGTGACAGCGCGCGCGACTGCTGCTGCTGGCAACAGTGGACAGTGGACAGAGTCTGAGCTCGTTGAGGTAGGACCCCAGCACCTGCAGGCCAACACTGTCACTCGCAGTGGTCCACAAACTAGCTTACTATACCCGGAATCCCTCCCCCACAATTAAACAGGTCGCGAATTAACCGACCCCTCCATCGGTTAATTCGCCTTTCCCCACCTATTTGCCCTCACCCACACCCACTGTACTGTTCACTGTGCACTGTCCACTGTGGTATGATGGCGAAATAGCAGGCTTGCCCAGGTCATTTTTCTCAGACGCAAAGAGCATGTTGAAAACCCCGGCTCTTGCGGCAAGTTGCTGGTGCCAACTGTTAATTTCCTGCCGTCTGGCAAAACTGGAAACTTGCCAGTCTCATGGATGCTTTGTCACCGTCACTCGTCTCAGTGGACAGGTGACAGTGAACAATGGACAGTGTTGTAGTAGGGCAATTATACGGCGTGTGATCCATGGGTAGTAGGGCAATTACGGCGTGTGATCCATGGACATCGCACACAAGCGGTTCAACCGCTGCACGAGCAGTGATACTGCTCAGAAAAACATGAGTCCAGGCGGCAGCGCTCATAGCCATCAAGGTACTGCTCGAAATAGACCATCCCGCACCACACACATATTTCCGTCATCTGCATCAGTTTCACTGATATGCGAACTTCTCCCAGCTCTTCATCAAGCAGCACACTCAATTCCTTCGCCAAGTCTTCAGCAGAAGCGGTCTCAGTCTCGCCCTCGGCGGAAACGGACATGAGCTCCAGGTTCTCGAGCTCCCTTTGAACATCCTCGACCTCGGAGTCGCTCTCCGATGCCGGCGAGAGGATTTCAGTAGGGGCTTCGTCCATGGCGGCGACGACAGTCGACAATGGACAGTGGACGTCCATGGCAGTGTCGACAGTCGACAATGGACAGTGGACAGTGGACTCAGTTCTGGAGCCAAAATTTACAGCGACAGCCTCCGTGGCAGCCAACAACAAAAGTTCATGTGCAGTTCTGGCAGTGCAACTACTAATTACTACTATTGTCTGTGCTAACAAGCATCATCATGGCAATTCACAATACAAACAAGCAATCAATAGCAGGAGCAGCAGCAGCAGCAGCAGCAGCACCCCCTTCAAGGACCTGCACACGCAGGTGCTGAGCACTGTTTTAACCCCACCAGGCGCAAACCTTCGGCTCATTCAATCTAATTAGCAGCTTCCAGCGAGCGGCTCATTCAATAGCAAGCAGCGCTTCCAGCTGCTGCACGGAATTTGGAAACTTTGCTTCCTCTGCCTCTTGCTAACAGGGGCCGAACTGGCAGGTGCACTTGGCCGCTTCCACTGTGCCCCAGCTGCCTTCTGCCTCTTGGCATCAGGATCGGAACTGGAAGTTGAACTTGGCCGCTTCCACACTGACTTCGTGCTGGTGTGCTTCTGCACAGGGACAGGCGACAGCGGGACAGTGGACTCTTGGAAGCATGGCATGAGCCTGTGCTGCTCCAGCCAGTTGTGCACAATCCAATTTCCCAGCTTCCGGGGGTAGGACTGGCTCTCCTTCAGAAGCTTCCGATCGCCAGTCCTTCCTCCATGCTCATCTTCCTTGACCATGGATTTATGAATCCCGTCACGGCATGTGCAGTTCTGCTGCAAACTCTTCACCCATGTCTCACCAACAAACTTGTAGCGTTTCAGGAACCTCTCGCCTTCGGGAGCATCCACCTGGAAATGGCACCTGGCACAGGTGGCGGAACAATGGTGGAAAACGCTGAGGACCTTGGCGAGGGGCTTGTACCTGAACATGATGCTGCCCGCTGGCTGTTCAATGACAGGGTGGACCCCACGCAACATTGCGAGGGCATACAGAAAAGCTGCAATGCTGGCCATGCGATTGCCTTCCTTCACAGGCGGGTACGCAGTGTTACCTGCTGGGCGGTTGACAGTACGTTGGCATTTCACAGAGTTCATGAACACAAAGCTGCTGCAGACGGGCGCCATCCACAGCAGGCCACCTTCGTCGATCTGCAAGACCGCCTTCAACGCATTCTGAAAGCCACGTTTGGTCAAGATGTTCTCTGTGTCATCCGACGCGTCATCATCGGTCACTCCCTGGATCCGGTCCTTGTCCATGGCGAGCTGTCGATAGCCAGCCGTCTCGGCAGCCATTGCAACGGACGCCACGCCGCACCACAGCTCCACAACAGACAGTGGACGAGCGACAGTGGACAGTGAAGACCGAAGAGCCATACCCAAAGTGATGCCGAACACTTGCATGCTGACCAAAGCGGCGGGGACTGCCATGGCAAGGCTTGCAGCACTAAATGCAGGCTGGAAGAACCCCAAGACTGCGAAACTCATGAGGTTGGCTGAAGACAAAAGCACTTGATAGCTGGCTAACACTTTCACTCACAGGCACCTGAGAAAGAGATCATTTTAGCGCAGCTTGACACACCCCTCAAGCCTGCAGCCGCACTGGCAATGATCATGAGCACTGCCAGGACTGACTGCAATAACCCGGACAGTGCACAGTGGACAGCTGACAGTGACACCAACGGCAGGCATCACTCATCACGCTGCACAAGGCACGCAAACCCCATAAAAATGATAAACACTCAGTCCATGATGCTTTTGCAAAAAGACTGTGAAGCTTGAGTGAAACGCTCCATGGCTGAGCCCTCGACGTCACCCATGGCCTTCTGCATGTGTCGCCAGTAGGACTCCTGGGACAAAGTCACCTTCTTCTTGCCTTTCTTTGTGCCCTGCTCGTCTAGTTGTAGATCTCGAGCTTCGCTACGCTAATCGGGGGACGACGTCCTGCGAACGTGTCTTTGCTGCCTCTTGGTGCCCTCTTCTGGGAGTCAGGGCCACGCTTCTTCTCAGGAGCTGTGTGCGCACCTTTAGGCTTCATAGCGTTGCGAATGTTCAGTGCATGTGAAGTCGTCGGTTTTGGCGACTCCTGTGTGTGGCCAGGCGGGCTGCTGCAGCCTGACTCAGAAAACTCTGCCGGCTGGCTGCTCCCTCCGCCAGTGCCCACTGGAGCCATCTGCACGAGCTTCTCCGCCTTCACCTCCGCATCTGCCGCCTTGCAAGCCTCGTCGAGTGCAAGATCTTCCTCCATGTCGTGGAAAGCGTTCAAAAAGGAAGCCATGGCGACAGACGACAGGGAACAGTGGACAAAGGGCACTTGCTTGACACTCAAGCTCAAAAGAGGGTTGGCAACGTGCAGCAGCAGCAGCAAGCGACACAAAAATCACCCACGACAAACTCACATGCAACAAGGCTGGAAGAGTTTTCCGTGCTGCGAAACAAAACTCGCTGGTCAGATGTGAGACAGACGACAGTGCACAGTGGACAGTGCACTTGCTTCACGTGCTTGGCTCACACAGCAAGAAGCATTTGCCCTTCAGAATGCGCTTTGGCTTGACCAGCATCCAGCATGGCTTGTTCGGAAAGATGCCCTTCTGTTGCTGAGAATCCTCATAGTTCAATACCATGCAACCGCATGGTGCCATTCTTGCTCTCACCTTTCTCCCAGTCCACTGCCTTAAAAGGCAGCAAACTGCCACAGTTGGCGAGGTCCGCCACTGTGCGGCCTGGCAACTTCTTGGGCTCAAAGGCGCAGCCTTCAACCTGCTTCACTGAGACTCCAGCTGGCTCCTCACCTGACAGTTCATGACAAGCCACATCGAACGTGACGACATTGTGCTCGGCGAGGTAGTCCATGAACTTCTGCAAGGTCGCCTTGCTCTTCTGGAAAGGTGGGTCCCAGCTCGAAGGGTGACCCCAAATTGCCTCATGGTCTGCTGAC